TTACTTGTACAGCAAATGTGAATGCTTACTTGTACCGTTAAATGTGAATGCTTACTTGCACAGGAAAAGATGAAAATGGCATTGCCATCTGTTGTTGTAGCTGCATTTGCCGCTGCTGTTGATGCAGTAGTCCAACTGTCGCAGCTGTTGCTTGAGCAGCAGAAGGGATATTACTTGCTTGAGCTGGTGCCTGAGCTGATGCAAATACGTCATTCAAGTCGGCATTAATTGACGACCCTGGCTGCTGTGATGCTGATGTACCAGTATTTTCATTTAAACCTAGAAACCATAAGAAACACCACTACAATGTTTATTTACCAGCCTAGAAAATAATTTTCCAATGACGTCATAAATGACCGATATTTTAGTGGTCATACCGTAGATCTGGTACAACACACCCAATGTTACCAATATTTGGTAAAATCTATTGTATTGATACTTACACAACCTGTAAAAATTAACATAAATTTATCAGTGCGAATTATCATACACATACACCTTTCTATGGTGCCGCACTTCAAGGAGAACAAATACAGTATTATTCTTTTTCAACAAGCATGTAGGTACAGCATTGAATATGGTATGTGATTTCTTTACTTTTGACGTTGTCCCAGTATGCAACCAGTTTTCATATTTGATTGCCACATGACAATCACAAATTTCAACTCCTGATATACCCCTGAATAATCTGAAAATGTCTAATATTCAAATTGTGTAATTAATATGACCCCAAACAATCGCATCTGTGGTTTATCCACAAGCAACTAAAAACATGAGTTGGAAACAATAAAAAGAATGAAATTATATGTTTGAATAACAATAGTTATTTGTATTTTTACAATTCATTGTATTATATATACTATCATGCATGTTTACAATATGTACCAGCACTGCACATGGTGGCTCTTTTGTTTATGTTTATAATTGAATTATAAACCAACATTGACAATGCACATTCCCTGTTCAGAATTCTATCAGAAGTGTGGGTGTACATTAGGCTGAATAGTGCAGTGAAATAGTCAGTCATTGCTGGAAATGTTCTGTAATAGACTGTGCATATTTGGTTGAATCACTAACATCACTAACAAAAATTAATGTAATGTGAAACCAAATCCAGTATGTAGAACCATTATACTGAGTTTGAATGGAATCATGCAAGCCATCACAGAGAAACAGATGTTAAAATCACGTTCATCTGAAACCAAGTCTGTGTGATCCTGATACAAAAGGCCTGTTCATCTGCAGGAAATGATTTTTAATTTTAAGATTTTAGACAAACAAACCATCAATTCGACAAATATGATCAAGTCACACAAAATAACGCAAGGCAATATATTAGGGAGAAATCGGCATAGCCATGAACAAAAACAAAATGGCCACTAGTCGGCTATTTTTGTTCAAATCAAATCGTTCATTTAAAATTTGTGTACATCTAATTGTATGAGTGATCATGGTACTAAGTTTGAATGAATTCAGCATGAACATGGATTGAATAATAACAAAATGGCCGCCAGAGGTATGTACGATCTAGAAAAAGGAAATAAAAGACAGTTTCATTGCCAACAGTCTAGGAAAGTTTATCAACATAATTTTACAATGAAATACCTTATAGTTGATAGTGTTATTCGTTTTAACATTTAATTTTTTTATATCTGTATTTCATGTTATTGTGTTTTTTTGTGTATGATTATTGACCATGGTTAATGTATTTCCAATTCATTAATTTGAGTAAAATATAATATACTATTATAAGCAAACAAATCCAGCCGTTGAGCAAACTGGCAAATGACTCCACCCCTCGCATACACCTGTTTTCCTGGCCTTTGTATTACCCCTCGCATAGGGCTTTTTTACTACTCGCAAATAATACATTTTACCACTCGCATATGGCATATTTTGCTACTTGTGACTCGCAACTTGATACTTGCATATGGCACTTTTTCTAGGTCGTACATATCTCACCAGTTAGTCATTTTTGTTTGACCCAGTATGTATGATCATGGTCCCAGACTTGTTTGAGTATCAACATTTTAGCAATTTTGAAAGCCAAAATGACCACCAGTCAGCCATACTTGATCAAATGGTATGTAAGTCATCTTACATGGTACACGTATGTGTTAAATTTGAATGTGATCGGTGAAAACATGTCTGCGAAATGGCCTCAGATGCATGAACGGACAGAAAGACAAACAAACAGAAAATAAATTAATTGTCCTTGAAATGGGACTAAAGACAGATAACAAACACACTGATTTACTTTGCCCACGTTTTCTATCCCTCTTTTCTCGAGTCTATGGTAATACAATCATTACAGACAAAATCCAGTAGTTATCATTTTTGTATATGAGGAAAGCAAATGTTATGTGGAATAATAAAAGCAGGTACTACATATGTATAAGATATTAGAAGACAAGGAGAAATGAAATGAAGCCATAGATTAGGTGAAGACCATTAATGTAGACAACTAATGCGTAAAAGAATTATTAAAAAAGTACCGATTACTTGATTGGGTAATTGTTAGCAAGTCTATTACTTTTAAGGTTAAGGTTTTATTTGACCACTAGGGAACCCCCACCAATTAATGATGATAAGAAAGCATGTTGTGATACCTAAAGCTGAAAGTTCATCTTCTAAAAGCAAAGCACTGGATGATGCGGGTAGATGTGATTGCTGGCCGTTAGCAGTGGCATCTGATGATGTGGTTTCTCCGGATGGTGCTAATGGCATACCTGTTTCTGTCATTAAAGCGGCGTCCATGTCTATTAATGTTGATATATTTCCTGTAACAGATAGTTAGTATTATTTATTTAAAAAGCTAGATTCGAATGAAGAAATAAACAGGTTGTGTACATTTCTCCACAGATGCTATGTAAAATTTTATTTCATTCCTGTTAATTGAGCTAATTAGAGGGTATCTAACTTTTATTTTATTTGGAATCTTCAATCCTATCATATTTAGATCTCTATAAAAAATATTTTTGTAGCAAAGCACTGCTAATAAAGCTAGCACTTGTTGCTTTGACAGGTGTAAATTCTCTCACCATTTCTGTTTATTAAAGTGCATGTGAATCATTTGCTACTTTGAACAAAAATTTTAATATATCTGAGCAGAAAATAAATACTTTAATAGAAAAATTGAGTTTCCAAGTTTTTGTGCCATTCTATTCAGTGACATGAATGCACATTTTTTATTGGCAAGCTCTAATAAACTGTTATAATAATTGTAATTGTTTGGGGGGGGGGGGGAATGCAAACCTTATTTTTAAATTGGATTTGCATGCTGCATTTTTTTGTGTTGTTTTCTTTGATATATTACAGGTTTAAGGTGAAAATTCACTAAAATTTGTTTTTAATTTCACCCACCAAAGTCACTTTGTAAGTGGTGATCCTATCTTAGTGATCACGTATTGAGATACCAAGTGTATATGCATGTACAATAAAAAACTGTTGGTAGACCCATATGTTTTATGATCTTTTGCACCCCAGGAATAAGATCAAATGACAAATATCTACTATATAAACAATAAAAGCACTGGTATTCTAAATTTGTATTACTCCACACACTTGTAAAAGAAATAGTTTAACAGCTTTTCCATCATTCTGTGCATGGAACTTGTATGACTTGCTCCTTTTGATGTTTGGTGGTTCAGTTACTTTCACTTTGGGAAAGGTTGAGTACAACTCAGAATCTTTTAAATTTTCTTGTGATCATGATCTATTTGTTTAATTATTTCTTTTTACAAAATAGAGAAATGTATATCAAATATAAAATACCACAAAAACTGAACGTAATCTGAAATTTACATCTTCAAAAGACATCAATAACCTAAACAAATGTGCTTACTCAAAAGAAGAAGAAGTTTTATAGGCCTTCATCATACTTACAAATACTAATACTGACATTTAATTTCATCATACTTACAAATACTAATACTGACATTTAATTTCATCATTTTAATGTTTTGAGCATATTTACTGTTTTAATTTCACAGATTTGTCAGGAAAACAACAAGTTGTATTGATATTTTACATGTTCACGTAGATTCAATTTAGCAGATTTTCACTTGGCAAAAACAGCAAAATTAAAACCAAACAAAGAATTAATGCATTTACATTATACATTATAAACAGTGCCCTCCAGTAGCACAACACGCTCTAGTGAATTGCAACCAGTAAAAAAAAGCAAATACTAATAGTAGTTACATACTTCCAATAGGTGATGCCAGATTGGTTTCAACTCCTTCTACAATTAGCTTAAATGATTCCATCACTTTGACCAGTGAGTCGTTGGCTTGTAGTATATCATCTACATGGGAGAAATAAAAACAAATATGATTAAGTTAAGGAGACATATCAGGTCACAGGTGAGCTACTACATGGTTGGTATAGAACAGGTAAAATATACTAACATTGTCAAATGATATAACAGTTGAAATGAAGATATTATGACTTATGTCAATATAAATTTCCTGTCTTAAAGCGTGGTGGTCGTCGCGGAGCGCGTGTTTGAATTTCATGTAAATCAACAATGTATTTTACACACATTGTATATGCCGCTATGAGTCCCATATCGAACAGGACGCGGCACGATGACTGCAACCCTTTAATTAATATTGTCATAGGGGTTCCCAAATTTTTGATTTTTTTTTGACTTGAGTTCATGAAGATTTGGTTCACAGTGAGTTAAATTTTGGCATGTAATGCTTAACTCAGTATACTTCACATAAGCATTGCATATGAAGAAGATGTATTATTTTTTCTCTCTCTAAAAATCCAATGCAGTTATCATTGGTCTTAAACATTTGTGGGAAGGACAATGTGTTATTGTAGCTTCTATGACGAAAGACATACATGTAATGGGTGTACTACTTACTTAGGCCATCATCTTTATCATCTGCATCACTCGCCAATGTAAATAATTTGGGTCTCATTTTTTCACATGCTTCATACAGCTCCTGTTCAGAATAAGTACAAGTTTAATATCAGGGATCCAAAGTACGGGTAATAATAATTATCAGGAAGTGGCCCATCCCTACACAAAATTTGTTTGTAACTTAAATTCCTACAGCTAACAATGAATGAGCTTAGGCTTATTTTCCTAAATCACGTTTCACCCAAATTTATTGCCAGAGTTGTATTAAATATTATAATACCATGCGCTGATGATACTGGTTAACAGGTACCAAATGCAACTCTGTTATTATTTACCCAATAATGTGGTAACAAAATTGTGTGTGAATGAACAATATCCATGTTTCCCAGCGTTTTCATAAATCGTTTGAGGAATCAACCAACGATGATTCTTTCACATTACGAAAGTCGGGTCATTTTCATCTGGAAACATGTGTCATATCTGTTTTTGCACATCGTTTACTTAAGAACATTGACTATGCAACTGAATAACAAGCATCTTCGACACACAACAATATTAGGTTCTGTCACTTATTCTTTAGTTGATGGTTGCAATTTATAACAATAATAAATCTCCCACATTGTCATATTGATTTCAAAGAAGGGGCCTAGAGCTGGGGATGTTGGCTTAGAGGGCTATATGATGTCTTGCTTGATATAGATCACAGCATTTCTCGTCGTCACTAAATATATCTTAGAAAACAAAACATGTTTATTTATGTACTAAATAAATTGGTTATGAAAATGCATGACATCCAAAATAATTTTATCTTTAAAAAGAATAACACTAAAAGAAATTGTTACCTTCATTAAATCGATTTCTTGAGAACTTGTAACATCCTTTGTGTAGTGGGCTAACATTTCATTTAATAGTTTCACATTATTATTACACATTTCCAACTCTGTAAGTCTACGGGACACTTTCTCCATCCTATTGGCATCTTCTTTCACCATATTTTTAATTAATCTGTTCGCCGCTTGCAAATCTTCTTGGTTTTTGCTCTTCAGTAACCTATCTAATAACTGAAAAACAAATACAGAATACTTTATGATAACAGTGATGCTTGATCAACCAATGCAGACATACCTAGCGGTACTTAATTGATAACCCGATGATGATCTCTGATGAATTCGTCATTATGTGAGAGAGGAATATCGAAAATGACAAAATGTGCAAAAAAACATGTATAAACTAATTTGAAACATCAGTTGATATTTGACATGATAGAACTATGGCACTAGAACAACATTGTTATGTATATGTTTTATAAAATGTTCAATGTATGTACCAAGATGGACAATAGTTACCCATGTATAACCAAGTTCTGGGTTCAGAATGGCAGAAATGCTTGACTTTGATGCTATTTAACATTAAAATGGCTGTCATTCTGGCATCTTGAATCTGGCCGATATGACCAAACACATAAATGGTCAGGGCACGTCAAGAAATAAAGAGAGATTTACTGTACTCGACCGGCATAGCACTTCTGCATTGCGTTAATAATAGTTCAATCTGCATTGCGTTAATAATAGTTGGAATTCAGAATTTCCGAAGAATTCTGATTGGTTAATAACAGACTTGACTCATTAGCTCAAGTGACATGGTAGCACGTCAAATCATACAAGAAAACATCATGGTGGAAAATGCTTTGCATCAAGAGTTTGCGTACAATCGAGGCACATTCAACAATGAAGATAATGGTCTCATAGTTCTGTACTATGAGATTAACTCGTCGGTTATTAGTGTTCCCACAATGTTCTTGATATATCACAACCATGATAGTTTATTTGGTTGTTGCCATGGTAATTACATGGACTCTATATACCAAGTACCATATTTTACCCAACATAAAGAATTGAAAATATCGTCACAAAATGAACAAATCTGACAGAAGTCCGCCTTTAGTACCAATATACAGAGTATCAATTTAAAAGCAATTGAGCTGGTGATTTTCAGAAAGAAGATTAAAATGCAATTATTTACGATGGACAATAATCTATATGAACACCTCTGCTCTGTCATCTACAATGACAGCAGCGATACAAAAGGTCACTATTTGGCCATCTTGAATCAGATCGTGAAATGAATTGACGTGCATATATACATGTATGTGTGAAGTTTTAATGTGATCGGCCCAGGTATGTCTGAGATAGAGCTACTTGTATGCATGCACAGGGGGATTGACAAACACACACGGAGGTCAATAAGTCTCCATTTTAGAACAGTGTATGCGAAGTAAAAAAAAAAACATCAATCTAAGCATGCAGATTCATTTTAGGTTCATTCTAGTAAGTATACAGTAGTACCTCAACTTTCTAAATGGTAAGGGTAGAGTATGTTCTTAAAAACACAGAAACCAAAAATTCTTTGTAGGTATATAAATCAATTATTGATGGGAATTTCAGATCACTAGTATTCAGACAATTGAGATTCAACTGTAATAAATAGTGACTCATCACCTGCACACCCCACCTATAAACCCAGAATGAAATAAACTGCCCACACTATTTTAGGTATTGTGGATTTGCACACTAAGTTGTAATGTGAGGTTATAACGAGGATACCTCAAAGTATGCACAGAACAGCTCGAGTATCGATCGACGATGTGCGGCTGATTAGGTGAGGTTGATGTGCGGCGCATCTTTCTGAGTGCATACTTTGAAGTATTCTTGCAATGATCTTATTATTATACATCTTGCCAAAATCCAAAAGGTTTAGAACAGAATCAGCGAACTTCTTTGTGTGGAGTCCGTTCAAACCCTGATGGCAGCCATGTTTGTTTTTATTTTTAGAGGATGCTTACACGCGCAATCATTCCATATTTGGAATTTGCATTTCCTTATATATATGGTAGGATGAAAATACCTCGTAATATACCGCAAAATAACGGCACGCTGTAACTTATGGCGTTATGGGGACAGATGTATAATAATATTTTATGATAGATCCATGCAACTGTGGTATTTGTTTTGATATAAAACACCATTTTTTTGTTAAATTTACAACCATGTTGATGAGAATTACGGGATTTTATCTTCACCAACAAAATGACTGAACTGATTTGTACTGCACCTGGATGTCCTCCTGAGAATGCAATATAAATCAAAATGTCAATAACATTAGAGACAGAACATCTGCCACTTTCGATACAAACAGAGAAAATGGCCTTGACATTCTAATTTCCAATGCCAAGTATAAAAAAAAGTGTATTTTGCCTGGACATGAATCAACTAATTATAATACTAGTCTACGGAAGAAGACAAATATGGAGGCGAAAAGGCAGCTGACATCTCACCTTGGCTTTGTCCTCATCCTCAAATAATGTATCTTTTGGTCTAGGAGGTGGCGGTGGTTCATATGTCTTATCTACATAAGTTGGATCTGTAGTAACTATTCCTGCAATTTAAATTAAAAGAAACAATGCAATGTTTTTCTCCAGTGTTCTCCCAACATAGAACAAAGCATGGCGGCACCGCCATGCTTGGCGACCCGGCCGCCACGCTTGGGCTCGGACCGCCATGCTTACAACTTCACCGCCATGCTAATAGGATGCATTGTAACCCACTCACACGTAGCACTGCATAAATTAACACCGTCAACGCCACGGCGGTTTGAACTTGCCGGGACGAATTAAACAGTCCCACTGTTAAACACGTGTGAAGTACAGACGCTGTAAATGGAGAACAAATTGTCACTCGAGTTGCAAACACCGAGATGCTATATAACAAAACATGTAAAGGAAAAAAAGGTGATGCCGCCCGGCTAAAACGTACAATCACCGCTAGCACAGCACAGAAACGGAAGCGTGTAGAAACACAGAAACGGCGTGAGGCTGGTTTTGATGAGTCGTGGAAGAAGATATTTCCCTGGTTGAGGTCAACTTCAGATTGTTCAGGTATGATTTCGTAATTTTAGAAATAAAATGCCAGTAGGTGTTTGTTTTGCCGATCGTAATAACACCGAACATGGTAGGCCTACACCGATTTCAATCAACATCTTAGACGCGAGGCTCGTATAACCACGGCATGAAAAAAAAACATCACTTGTTACTGTCAACTATTTTTAGATTATTTATGGATATCTTCATAGATTAATGGGTACGCGTATGTTATAATTTGTCCAAGCAAAAAAAAAAAATTGAATTTTTGTATTCTTCCGGTCACATGTTGACCTGTGTGGGTATTTCCAAGATGGCGGCCTCTCAACGTCTTGCGAACAACAGCTGCTATTGTCACGAGCTATGATCGATGGAATCCTGATTAGTATACATAATTTTATCGTTACGTTTTAATTTTAATTGAATAGTGACCTCATGTTTTTTCCCTCGAAATTCCCGAGTCCTTGTCGTTGACCTGACAAAACCAACATGTAAACAACATGTTTTGCAGACGGTATGCTATCCATACGGCACTGGGTTCCCGATGGCGACACAATTCAATTGTTATGTTTACATTTATTTGAACCTCAATCCTCATTGTGTTTTTTTTTTTTTACCACTAGGAATGTTGTGCAGTTTATGCTCAAAGCACAACATGCTTGCAAAGAGAGGGTCTTCTTTATGGAACAAAGTCCCGTGCACGGTACGGTCTATGACAAGTTTAACTACAGTAAAGCAGCCAATGTTTGGAGCGCAGCAAAGTCAAGGAGGATTAGTTTAGACTAACTTTTATGGAACAGTTCACATTAAATGACGATCTTGTCAAATTATGGTATACTATGTAAAGTATTATGTAATTTAAATAAAGCCTCTCATACATTTTAATACTCTCTTGTATGTTTGTTTTTGTGAAAGTGAATCCTGAAAAATATGCAAATTAGTATGCAAATTAGTCCGCCATGCTTGCCTCTGAGCCTGGGACTGTTCTCAGTCAAACGTACTGTTAAAAGCATAAATTATTTCTGGTTTTTTAATTTCACTATTTTGATATTTCATCATATTTAAAAAATCACTGATTTTCCAGTGAAACAATTAGTTCTATTGCATTTGTAATTGATATGAATATTATTTACACTTATCAGCAAAAAATAGCTAATAAAAAAACTCGATGAAAAATTATTAAGTTTACAATTGAATTTACAGTAGCAATTCAAAATATTTATCAACTCAAAAGCAATCAAAGCATTTCAGAGTTTTTAATGAGGACACAATACTGGGAATGTAGGTACCCTCTCAATGAATAACGTCACAATGATGTATTCAACCTGGTATGCTACTCAGCCCATATAAAGAAAATACTATATGGTAATTGTATAACTGTCGGCTAATTTAACTTGTTTTAAAGTCAGTATTTTCCACACCCTTTCATAATTAAGCACATTCAGCAATCAACAAAAGAAGGTAAATTAAAATCATGCGAAAAAAGAATAAATATTTTCGTACCTTGTTTCTTTAACATTTTATAAGCATCCCCAATTTTCGCTTCATGTGGTAACCCTGTACTCCAACAATATAACAACTCAATCACTTTTGTTTTCACTTTCTCCGATGTTTTTTCACCCAGATACTGTAATCATGAATAAAAATTGTAAAGAAGGCAATACAATAATGGGACCCAAACGGATATTTATTGAGAACATAATTTAAATATTCAACACACAAAAATGCCAACATTTAAACATATGATGCAACAGATTACATCATGTATGTGAAAAAAAAGTCATATCATACTCGTATTAAGATCATTGTAATATAAAGTATGAACATACCAGGGATTTTATTATACAAGGGAACAGGGGCGCAGCACCCTCATGCCATGGAAATGCGCCCCTTTACTCTGGGGAGCAGATCCTCTGGCAACCATAAAATTCTGATTGACCAGAGATCACATGTGGCCACAGTCTTCAACTGTGACCTGTCTGATAGTAATTTTGGCCCCACGAAAGTCATAGAATGCTCCATTTTAACTTAGAATTATCAAAAACTCCACACCCTGATAGGGAGAACCCTATCTCCCCCACCTGGTGGCGCTGCTGATTTGCAGTGCTCCCTCTTGCAGTTTTTTTTCTACTTGGCGCCCATGCTTGACTGAATGCCCAGCCCCCATTTTTTGGACATTCCTCTTTTTGGGGTACGTTCGGCTGCAAAAAACCCATGCCCCAATACCAATAATAGAATTTTATATAAATTATAAGAAAATTAATGACGAAGTGACTAATTTTGCTAATTTATTCTCCCCAATGATCATGCATGTGCACATGGTGAAATAAAATTGTCATTTACATAGTACTTGTTCTTGGGTGTGTGTGCTGGGATGAGCACTCATCCCTCCAGAACGTGTAATTTTGGGATCACCCTGAGCGCTAAGTCGGATGGGTATGGTATATGTACTATGATGTGCATGGTAAGTGACAAATAAGGCTGTTGAAAAGAGTGCACCAAAGCATGCAGCGATCCAGTTCCGGTTGACTCACAATCATTATATCTATAAAGTCAATGGTTGAAGCCACAAACATTGGACATATATGAATACAACATATTTACCTTAGGAGAAACCAACTTGATCATTTCATTCAGAAATCTAAATTTACCAATTTCTTGGTGAAAACGTCTACCACAGTTTTTAACACAGGATTCCAAAACGGTTAATGACTGAAGAGCCTCCATTTCTTGCGGGGATTGCATCTTATGAGCAATTAACTTAGTTGCTATCTGGGGTCTGAAAAAGTGAATGAAAATGTTACTTTCTAAAAGCAATTATCAGAAAAGTTCAAACAAGACCTATGCAGTCTTCAGAAATAAATATGATAAATGGTATTTGTCATGATGAATAACCATGTATGTAAGGGGTCTGAAAACTAACTCTGCAACACGATAGTGCGACTCGCTGAATGTTAATTATTGCACTCTGTGGCAGGGGTGCAGTGTCACTGATTGATTTGATTGGAAGACCACTTGTCACAGCGTAATCACCTGGGGACGCATTATGTGTGCATTGTTTCATGTTGAAATAAATTCTTAACATTTTGGAAACCTCTCTGAATTTTGAGTCGATTATTTTAATTTAATTTCGAATGAGTTTAATTTCATGATTTTGAGCTGTCTGAGCTTTTCGCGGTGTTTAGATTTCCCGGACTGTCGAAATATGAAACAAATGGTCACACCACATGAAGCAGTCAGTCAATGTCTTGTTGATTTCAGTCACATGCAGCCTCCAGCAGAACAGGTATTTCTGTATGTCTGACACTTAATCACTGTATCCTTTATTTTAAATACTAAATGTAAATGACGTGTTTTCAGACAGTCTAGAAAGTAATACAAAAAGAACAACCCCGGGAGAATAACTAACAACCGATCCGTGCTTTATCAATAACAATTTTCATCTGGTGACAAAAATACTTATTTATTCGCGGCAATAAAAATAATTATTTTTTGTAATGAACAAATTAATAGGATACAAATAGATTTTTTTTTTTCAGGTGAGCGAATTAATAAGATCCATTTTGATCGGTTCAATTTGAACTTGTTTTCGCCAATTTAATAGTGATCAAGACGTTCTTTCGTGTTTTGGAGTGGTTTAGGGGCCGTGGCTAACAAAAAATGTCGCAGGGAATCAGAGTGGACAGCAGGGAACTCAACCAAAAGTCACGCACCACTCGAAATGTTAGTTTCTAGCTTTTCAATTGGTCGCGAGGAAGACAAGATGCCAATCACAGAGATGCACTGTATTTTGTGCTACATTGAAGGAGCAAAATGCACGCTGTTTTGGAATGAATATGTAAACAAACAATCAATTTGTGGCTACAAATTGTGGCCTTCTGATTGTACCGCTTTCTTTTATTAAAATGGTACTTTTTACACACACACATATTTTGGTACGGTGTATCCCTTTTTTGGAGGATGAAAATGGCCGTTTTGTTTGTGTTGTAAAAAGTTACAAATAGATTAATTTGTGCTTGACAAGTCGCCGGCAGTGAAGCCTTCAAACCAATCAGCTTCATCGTCGTTGTCATGGAGCAGGTCAGCAAACGTTTCAGCTATTTCGTCTTCAGCCCCGTTAATTGCATTAGTAATGCCGCACAACTTGAACGACTTTGAGATCATCGATGGTCGCTCGACTACTAGTAACTTCTTCCAAGCATTTTCAACACAGTCCACGATAGTCTGTTTATGGACCGTTAACAAGCGTGATTCTGAATATGAGCACGAAATGAAATGAATCAAGCACTATCATTGAATATCGTCTCTCTGTGTATGGTACCCATATCTCGTCTACCCAGCGTAGCATGAGTGCTTCATTCATCCATCCCTTTTTTTGGACAGCAATGACGAAACTGGGTGGGGATTTCAATTCACGTTTTCCCTTGAATATAATCATGGGGGAAGTACATCTCACCATTTTACATTCAGTCAGTACGATGGTGAGGTGACGCTTTTCATTGCCCATGGTTCAAACTTTCATTTTTTTCGCCCCTCGAGTGTCCACTGTTCTGTTCGGGACTAAATCAAAATAAACGGGGGGTTTCATCCATAATTCCTATATAATCAGACCCTATTCACTGAGTTTAATTCGCACAGATGTCAAAAACTTGTTGAGTTTTTCTTCAAAGTCAGCGGGCAATCGCCATTGCAGTTTTTGCACAAAGTGTGAGATTGTTCTGTTTCATGAAGTGCTGACACCAACCGCGAGAAGCTTTAAAACGTTGGAGTTATCAGGGACATCGCATGATAACTAATTTCGTCAATCTGCAAGTCCCATTCTCGAATTAACCAGGCAAGCATTTGTTCGTTCAGTTCTCCCCCATACGTTATTTTACGCCCACTGCTATAACATCATCCATCTTTTGTGAACTGTTTGTGGTCAAAATCATATTTTTTCCACCCTCTGATGGTTGATGATGCAATCTTGTACCTTCTAGAAGCAGTATTGATACCGATGATTTTTGCCTCCTCAAAAATTGCCCTGCGTTTCTTTACATTGTAAGAAATATACACGCCTCAACTTTTTGGAGTTGATTGGGCGATCGATTGATGAGGCGGGGAGACGAGTCGAAATGTGGTGATAATGACATGGACGAGTCAAGTGGTGCTGGGCGCGGTGATCCGATGTTCTCTTAATGGGTTGTGGTGGGTTGCGATACTGCAACATCACTTGTGTCGATTCGAGGATTCTTAGGTCTGCCAACGGGGCGTTTTTTCCCGAACGATAGTGGGTGATGTACAAAACATAGACAACGGAATAGCTGGTATATCAGCAGAAGGTTTAGAAAAAAAAGAATCAATACGGCGAGACATATTGAAAGTACTATTAGCTTGTTACAAGACTAAAAGCAAGTAAATTCAGATTGGAAATATGTCTTATTTATGCCATCTCGTAGCCCCAAATTCTTCACACATTTTCAGACACATATCTGCGATAAACTTGGTGCAACTCATGCTGTTTAAAAAAACAACAATGAATTTGCAATTGAGCTCATATCGTGTACAAAGGCGAAACAGTTTCACTGACTGGAGAGGACAGGAAATTGTCAGTATACTGTGTGACCCATCCTATTTAAAAACAAATCTGGCATGTGCCCATCTATTTACAACATTGAATTCGCAAATGAGCTCATAATATCTACAATGTCTGGAAGGAGGCAGGAAGTAGTCAGTGCTACATGTAACGTCTGACACATTAATTTTGAGACCAAAGACGCATCGTTTTGTCGCGAACATTAATATTGTTATTAATTTTGAAGTTATTATTGTTATATTCAATGTTATGGTAATACTGCCAATATCCAAGTGAAATGCATAAATTATGTTAATTAAGGTCAATCAACGTCCGCACGTGATCGGTATTGACCAATCAGTGTTTGTTTATTTTCTGCTCACGTGCAGTTCAAATTCTGTTATCTTCTGTGTTCCTGTTCCAGACAACATTCGTTTTTGAATAAATAGTATACAGGTTGTGATTGTAATATTCATGGGAAAACCTAACTGAGTCTGTATTTCTGTGACGCTATTCACAATTTAGTGCCGAGACCAGGATATTTCCGAACACTACCTGACGATGCCAACCTTAGCCTCTACCCACGCAAAGGCATAGAAACAAAGTGTCTTGCTCGAAAGGATCATCAAACCGATCAAAGACCTCATCCGCGAATTCGACTCCCTACCAAACTTGTATTTTTCCAATCAAAGCTCTGCTAGCTGCAATGATGGTTACTAAATAACCATGCTTCGACGATCGCCGGTGATCACAACAACTCAAGGTAATTGGTAACGTGAAAACGATAAACGCATACTGAAAACAAAAAAGGTATTTGGCGATATTGATAGGATACAAATTATAGTTTTGTTTTTAGAACGTGGCGAATTAATAGGACACAAATAATAATTAGCCCCCGAAAATAAAATAGGCGGACGAATTAATAGAGACTGCGAATTAATACAGTTTTTAATATAATAAGGTAATTTGCATTTTTTTTTTATTTAATTGGTAACGAAAGTATAATCTAAAATAAGTTTCAAATAAAAATAAACACAACTGCATTGCTTAGTAGCAAATGATCACGGTAGCCCAACAGGTCATGCTGTGTTTCACAATTGTTGATTATTATTCATTAGTGATCATAATAATGTACAAAGAAAAAATTTGTTGTATTGTTATGAAAAGCAAGTAAAATTCAACTCTGGTCGCATGTAAACGCTTAAACCATGTGACATTTTTTCGTGACGACTTCCATGAGTTTGCCGATCACTGAATAGTGCGGCATGTCGCCGATGTATGATAGTGTTTACATCTTGTTTATCATAGTTCTATAAGGCATATGGTAAACCGTTACACTGAAAGAAGTTATATGGACATCGACCAACCATTGGGATTCACGCTTTTTGACAAACCAACCAATGGGAATCATGCTCTTTGCTGAGTGACACTGCAACCCTTTCGCAGAGTGAAATAATCAACATTTGGCGAGTCGCACAATCGCATCGCAGAGTTAGTTTTTTCCTTTTACATACATACCTTGAATAGCACATAGTTTGTAGAATCAGTCTCTGTCGCATGAATTTGAATAATTTTGCGCATATGGCAAACTATGTACATGCTCAAACACCTAGCTCTAGTACTAATAAAAAAAACTAGAAAACCAAAAAAAGAACATCACAAGCTCACTATAAAACCAAAAAAATCAAATTAACAGTCGAAGGTGATACAGACATAATCCTGAAACTAATCAATGTTGTACATTACCCTAAAGTACCCAGGTACCAAATTTAATCAAAATCCGCTAAAATTTTTTGAGATTTCTCATACATTGACTGAAATGAGAAAACGAACATGCAAATTAGCTACTTAATATGCAAGCACATAGCCCCCAAAACAAATCCTGTTTGCACGTTATCCTATGAACTAAATTTTATAAAAATCCACTCAAAAGTTTTTGAGATTTTGCTCACATAGACTGAAAATAGACAATTAATATGCAAATAATATGCCAGCTACTTATACGCAGACATGGCCCAAAAAAAAAAATCATGTGCATTACCATAAGGTACCTATGTATCAATTTCGATTAAAATCCATCTTTGCTAAGATAACAAATAACACATGTGCATAAACTGAGGCATGTCTATGTTAAAGTACTAAGTCATGTTTTAATGATCCAGCATTCAATAAATTTGTGCATGATTTATGCATGTACTTCCAGTACAGATGTGCTTCTAGAACAAATAAAGTTTTTGAAAAATGTGCAATACCTCATAATGCCTGATACAGACTTGATTTCGCAACCCACAATATATGTGTACACAAAGTGGCATAATTCTTCTTACTTACCCTTCTAATTCTACATTCACTTGATCACAGAATCCCATTATATATTCCCAGTCATCTTCTCGGTTAAATGGATTTGTGGCTTTATCTAAAAATGAAATAGTGACAAAAGATGCATGGCAAAGTCCCCGTTAGTTATCAAATTTAAAATATGTGTATATAATTTTGTTTATAGTAATTTAGTTGGAAAATAAGCATGTCAGAGATATGGATCCAAAAGCTGATGCTTGATTATGATTTTTTAACATTAAAATGACTGAGATTCAGTCATATTGTATCTGATTGTCAAACAGTACCTGCCCATATTGAGAGGTATTGCTCTGGAACAGCATTAATTAAAACAAACGGCCGCTATTCGACCATTTTGAATTAGATTGTCAAACCAATACATCTGTATATCGATGACATGCAAAATTTGAACGTAATCAGTTGAAGCATGTCAGAGATATGGCACTAGAACAGCATTTACTAAAACAAAATAGCTGCTAGTCAGCCATTTTGAATCCGATCTGAAAATCCGATCCAAAATGACTAATGTATATACCATTTTTCAACAAAATCCATTTGTAAATATCCAAGATCTGGTTCAAGAATGCCAGAAGAGCTTGATTTCGATGATTTTCAGCACAAAATGACGGGCATTTGGCCATCATGAATCAGATTGTGGAACAAATTGAGGTGCATATGTATAATATTATATATGATGTATGTGTGAAGTTTAAATTTAATCAGTTCAGGCATGTCTAGGATATAGGTCCGGGCGCACACATGAACTCACGGACACAGGCAAAATCCACAAGTCCCTGTGTGTCACTGCTGTTTTGCGCATGCATAACTGTAGAAAATTTAATCAAAATGGCGTCGCACACTGTTCTTTAGAGGTGTGGTAAGCCTGTGTTGACAGCATGAAAATAGTATCAAATTCGTATTAGTTTTAAAAAAAGCGATGCATTTGCAAAAGCATATTTCAAATCCATATATTTGTTTACAATCTGCCTAAATTCATATTTATGTTGTATGCCATGTCAGAGGTCATCTTTGCTATCACGCACATTACACACTGACAACCACACTTTTTGTAGTTCAGTACACAAAGTGTATATGGCAAAGCTCCATAAAAATATATTTCTGTTCTATTTTACTGACTGGTTTCAATCACGTTTTGTTTGTATTGACTCTTTAAAGAGGAAGCTGTCAACCCAAGGGACTGTACCCTACAATCACCATTGTCTATTTCAGTATTTATAATATAGCCCTGTGTCGAGGGTTAGCAATAGCATATTATAGTCAGACGAACCCCCCCCCCCCGCCCCCAACCGTATGAACGCCCGACCGTATAATTGTAACCCCCGACCATTCACAGCGGTATATGTAATTAGATCATATTTAGATTCGCGTTGTTATTCTAATTTATCAAGTAAAGTTTCTGTTAATATACCCATCGTAAGTAAAAACCGATTGAATTTCGAACCCGGAAAACTCCGGAAGCTCATGAATTCTCTCACGCCGGTGTATATTGTAGTTGTGTGTTCCCCGAGTCGATCGTCCACGGCCAGACACTTTTTTTTTTTTGCTGCCGTGGGTGAATAATAATGTGAACATCATATGAACGTGAATATTATATAAATCTAATGTGTATTACTTAAAAATTTTGAGGAATATGTTTTATAGAATGGAAATGAAACACTCACTCAGCCACGATTCGAGGGATTCGCCATCGTCCGCCATCTTGAAAGCTGCAATAAAACAATGACCACTTATCTTTGTAAAAATTATAGTTACTCATCTCTTTAGATAGTCACAAAACCTCACACAGAAAGAATGATCACATTTATTTAGACAAAAACTGTTATTACGCTAATATATCAATGAAGTAACTGTTGTGATCCTTATGTTTTCACTGTTCTTCTTAATAACTAGTAGGAAAACCAAACACTAAAGGCGGTCATATTACACGAAGCAAAACCACGTTTACAAACTAGGATTCGACATCGACAAAGCACAACGCCCACCTGTGCCCAGATCATGTGCTTTTTGGAACACAAATCATGAAAGTTTAAAAATGCATCATTTAATACGCCATCTGCAGAGGCTGATCTTCACTCTTATATAGATAACCATGATTCATATATAGCTTCAGTAGCGCCTCATTTCAAATGCAGCTTATGTGTTTGTTGTTTGTGCTGGTGGTTGGGCGAGGATAGACGTGTCCGTGTTTTGCTCAGCCAATTATTTGTGTTTACTTTAATAATCGTAATACATGACCAAGAACAGGACTGAATCAGATTGTTCTATTTTTAACATTAAGTCACATGAATTTTTTTCAACAATTTTTATCAAAACTTGTAGCCGATTAAGTTGTCAATTAATTAATTTAATATATTCAAAAGCAAGAGTCATGTTTCCAATAATTGATACCATACGGCCACACCTGGGATTTTTCGAGAGAAAAAAATCATCATCAGCACCGCATTGAGCGAATTATCATCCAACAATCCTCCCAAAATACATTTGTAAATGTTACAAACGGCAAATTCACAGAGCAAGATATCTTCTGAAAGATAACATTAGAGACACCCCTAACTGGTCGTCATATTTAATAAAATTGCAGACACAACACAGGAAATTGCACAAACTTTAAAACAAAAATATTTTGTTTCTTTATATAAAATATTTATAAGTTTTATAAATTTGAAAGAATGGTTGAAAAATTGACTAATTTTGCCTCAGTTGATGCATACTATTCATACAGAATATCTTTTGCATGCATGGCTGTAAATAAGTCAAGGGTATCATGAGTACGGTAAGTTTTATAAATTTCCATAAAAGCATCATATCTTCATAAAATGGAGTGTAAACCTAACACACATACATTTCAATTTGTATATTACGTTAATAAAAATCTGATTTGAAGGCATTGGTCATAATGCAGCACTGTTAAACGTTTTGAAAATAATGTATTTTAAATGTGTTCACTCTTAAATATTGTTTAAAAAGTGCAAATACATCCTCTAAATCAAGGTTTGAAGACATCAAACTCTTTGGTGCTTGATAAAAACCTAGAATTTATGCAGCGTTCCACTCGCTCTACATTCCATAAATGCCTAGTTACAATGCTAGTTTTATCATTACCCATCCAGACACACTATAGTATGTAATAAGCATCTTATGAAATAATATACTGTATGCTCATTGGTCAGTTTAGATGCTACACAAATTATTACAGATGTGCTCCTATATTACGGTAAATATTATATTCTGCACACCTTAAATTTTCTATTGAAATTGATATTCTAGGTCTATTTGCTCCTATATTTATTTTTTCCAAACTTGTTGCCGGATACACAACTCATATATGATAACATAATATGGATAAATTACTTATTAATGAAAAAATGTTTATTCAGGAATTACAAAAAAAATTGTTTGGAAAACAAGATTAATCTATGAAAATGTACACGTTCACAGATAAATCTGTTGGTGACTTGAAAAAATCAAAGAGATAAGAAGTAAGCACTAAATGTTTGTCATGAATACAGAAAACTGGACTAATGGGAAAAAGTAATATTCAAATGTTACAAATATAGTAATATGCAAATTAATGTTTCTTATGTAATTACAGTAATAAGCAAATTAACAGATGTTACTCATCCACGTACAGTAATATGCAAATTACATCAGGCATTACTCATCCAAGTACAGTAAAATGCAAATGAATTCAGATGTTACTCCTCCCAGTACAGTAATATGCAAATTCATAAAAATATTTATGTTGTCACCGTAATATGCAAATTGCATCAGACATTACTCATCCAAGTACAGTAATATGCAAATGAATTCAGCTGTTACTCCTCCCAGTACATTAATATGCAAATTCCTAAAAATATTTGTTATCACCGTAATATGCAAATTACATCAGACATCACTCATCCAAGTACAGTAATATGCAAATGAATTCAGCTGTTACTCCTCCCAGTACAGTAATATGCAAATTCCTAAAAATATTTATGTTATTACCGTAATATGCAATTTACATCCTATTATAGTAATATGCAAATTATCTAGACGTTACTCATCTAATTACAGTAATATGCAAATTATTTCAGACATTACTTTTCAAAAATACAGTAATTTGTAAATTGAATACATATATCCATTTACAGTACGGTAATATACAAATAAACTCAACAAGTGTACACTACTGAAGTCATCCTGGGTGTTGTATTTTACCAAGTGGGCTTAGTAAAACGATGAATATATTGGAAACGTCACAGCTGGACCAAGTCGTCACGATGTATACAGATGTCACATTGCTGATGCGTGCTTAGTTCACAGCAATAACAAAACAAGAATATCAGTCCATGGAATAAAAGTGTGAAGTCAGTTATGTATATCATCTTTTTTTAAATCCATACTTCTTTCTTTCGTAGAACAGATCTGTTTTGGCACTGCCGAGGTTTACTATTTTTGGACAGCCATCTCTCTAGAAAAAATAAATAAAATGTTGGAATTTAGTTAAATGGTTTCATGTTCAGATTTTTTGAAGCACTTTTCGAGGGATGTATTGTTTATTGAATAATATAGAACCACTGCTTATCCAAATGCAACTGCTGGTCTGTATTAAAAATATATAGTGCAACATCAGATTTTTTTTATAACATAAGATATGAATATGTATGTATGATTTATTCCATTTAACAGCATAAAAATCTACAAATATAAACTTGTATTATATACAGTTTAAAAATAGCAAGATAAAATATATTTGGTCTCCATGTTGAACATATAGGGTTTATGATTTGTGGTCAAAATACTAGACCCGTATTTTCACTGCAAGATATGTTTGCGCTTATAGGATCTTATGGCATTTGTTAATTTGCTTTGTTTTACTACCACACTGATCCTACTCCGCTACAGTGATCAGGGGTTCCCTTGTTTAAGAAAATCCCTGGTCATTATCCTGACTGCCATTTACATATTTTAAATCAAATTGCTGAAAACAATCTTAAAGCAATAACAGTTTTGTAAGTCAATAATTTTTACATTGTGTGAATGTGTAGGTTTATTCATCACCATATAATTGATATAATTATGCAAATGAGTATATAAATGAGTATTGTCATCACTACAGTGGTTTGAATTTCTGGGGAGAATACTGAGATTTAGCATATGATAATGTACTTCAGACAAAGTATATATTTTTTTGTTTTGTAGATTATGAAAGATTCTTGAAAACAAGAAGGACTTTATAATTTAGACTTTACTGTGAATGTTCATTTTCATAGTAATTATAGATTTACATGCAATCTGACTATTTTGAGTACCGGTACATTTACTTGGTTTCAAATTCACAGAACTTGCATGCATGTGTATATGTGTGATATAACTTGATTCGTCAGAGATATGGCACTGGAACAGCATTCGTTAAATGCCACCAGTCGGCCATTTTGTATCTGATTTAAAAAAACAACGATGTGCAAGGTCCCTTAGTGCTGAACACCAAGTTTGAAAGAAATCCATTGCTACACGTCAGCTATCTGGTTCTGAAATTGCAGAAATGCTGGATTTTGATGAATAAGCATAAAAATGCACACCATTCAGCCATCTAGAATTGAATCGTGAAACGAATGCACATGCATATGTTCCTACCCCTAGAATTGAATACAGTTATTTTTTGTTGGTTATTTTTTGTCAAGAAAATAAAATGTTATGAGAATGTATAAATGCCGATAGCAAGAGACTGCAATAAACAAGAGATTGTATACAAGTCTATTCCTCCCAAAGATCTATGAAGTTTTAATTTCATTGACTCAGGCATGTCTAAGACACAGCTTAAAGCGCAGACACACATAGAGGTCAACCCATAAGTCCTTGTGTTATGACTGCATCAGAAAATAATTAATTCAATAAACTAAAGCCTAGTTTAGATCAATGAACATAATAATTGATGATATTCTGCAAAAAAACAACATGAATTCAAAGGGGGGAGGTTGGGATAAAAGAACTTCACAAATGCAGGACAACGAAATTTACAGTTATTTTATATCAGTTTTCATTGTCTAGATATTCAACTTTTCATTATGTAGAAGGATAGCACATTGAATTGCCATTTGATAGAGAGATGACCACACTGCCCTGTCATATATTAGTCTAGTCCCAAACATGAACAGGGCTTCAGTGACAAAATGCACTATGTGTATCATCTTGATTCTCCAGCAAAGGATTACAAGTGAAAAATGTAACAAAGACACTGTAGTGATTAATTGGAAGCATTATATTATTTTCTCAGCCTTTCCCTTTAAAGCGAGAGGGTCGTCACCTGCGTACACGCAGGAATTGAGTCCCATGCGACATTAACAACACACGCTAAAAATGCAAAGGCAATGACAATAAAAAAATGACACGCTATGGCCATATGATACATGCGCAGGTGACGACTCCCCCGCTTTAAATAAACTAAAATACTACATGAAGAAAATAAAATATAGCCATGATGGCATGTAATGACTTACATCTTTTTCTTGTATCGTACATTCTTTACAATAGTAAGCATCAGACACGCCAGGTCCGCCACAAATAACACATCTACCTTGATAAGAACCATAGTTACACTCGTCGCATATCCGAACTAAAGTACACGGACGTACGTATGAATCACATATCACACATTTACCATCGCATTTCTCGCATAATCTACCAATAGCTGGTGAAGAAATAGACAAATTAAAGTTGGTTAGTGTGACACACAAGAGTTATAGTGTAAATAAGTGATGCCAAAGGCTCTTCCTGATTAAAACTAGACAAAACAGTTACTCTCATAACCAACACTGATCTTCACAGATTTTAACAACCAATTTAGCAACCAAATAGAAGCAAACTCTCAAATGACAGAGATAGCACACATCGGCTTAAAATATAGAAAAGATTTTAACATATGAATGTTTTTTACTCGAGAGACATGTAGCCTTTTAATGTAATGAACATAATACCCTTCCACTGAGCTCAAACATTTTTAGAAAATTTGTGCCACATTGTGTACCTGTGGTAAAACTCATAGCAAAAGAACACGTAAAACTGATTTTTGTTTTCGATATTAAAAACTAGAATTCAATTACTAGTACAAATCTTAGCAATTTTCATTTTTCCTATACAGCACTTTCCACTATATGTTGTTATGCAAGTTGCATTGTACATTTTAGTTTTGGGGGAAATTTTTCTTGGTGAAGCTTGAAATATGATTGTGTCTCAATACACACATTTTACCAAACTTGACACTTGTCTTCTAACATGGTACCACTGATCATTTAAGGTTCATTTTAGAACAATTCATACATGTATTATTGGGTGGTGGTCGTCAAGCCACATCCAGTCGATATGGAACCCATAATGGCGTATACATACATGTATACAAAATGTATATGTACATAACACATGTAAAATACATTGTTTGTTTACATGAAAATCAAACACATGCTACGTGAAGACCACCGCCCTTTATTAGGAGTTCTGCAACTGTTATTTGAATTATTTGTTGGTAAGAATTAGTAGAAAACATGTACTAAATGTTCAATTCTCAGTGATTATCACTGCAGCTAAGATTGTTTGAATTTCAATTGTCAATGCTTTTGAATAATGTAAAGAATTAAGTATTCCCTGGCTTTTATTTTTTTGAATAAACTCATGTGAATCTGTAAAATAACAGAAGAACTCATTTTTTCTCCGGCAAATTTGAGAAAATAAAGCCCAGTGTATACGCTCAAAATAGTTTTTTGTTTCAAACAACATCAAGTGTGTGATTTTTTTTTTAGGAAAGAAATTTCGGTAAGGGTAGGTGAGATGTACATGTATAATGCATCTTGTTTTCAGCAGGTTTTGAGGTTTGAAACATTGACGTTAAAGAATAATTATTTACCAGACGAATAGTGGATCTCTTTTCCTTTCACTCAAGGGAGAATAGCACTTCCATAGACATAATACCGTAGTATGTATTGCAGAGAAGAGTTTTGCTACTAAGCAATGCACTCAAATTTGTTTTTTTTCGAAACTTCTTTTACAATATACTTTTCGTCACCAAAAAACTTTAAAAAAAAACTGCATATTACATTAAATATACAGGGATTTTTTTTATCAAGGGAAAAATTTGTTTTTTTGATTGATTGTAATGTTTCAACATTTCGTGACGCTTATTATAAAACCAAATTAAGGCCTTCCTCTCTTCTCTGACGGCTAAATTAGAGTGACGCCTAAACTAGAGATTTAATGATAATGAAAAATTACTGCCAATGTAATACAGTAAAACCTGTCAAAACCGACCATGACTGGGACTGGGATCTATGGTCGGTTTTCAGAGGGAGTCGGTTTATTCAGGGTGGGCGTGACTTTGATTGAAACAACAATTACATGTGCTGTAAACACGGGACAAATGAAAGACATCGGAGTTTGCCTCCGGTGATTCTACATGTATTTACAGTGTGCATTTATTGTATTGTTTCAATAAAATAATTTACCAAACAAGACAAAAATATTATGGTATGTACATGACATCAATTAACATTAAAATAACTATTCGAACAGACCGGGTAAGTATTGCGTATCGTAACTGAAGGCGTCCATTTTGGATGACATCACAACGTATGTTCACGTGAGCTACATGTAATTATCATAATTTATGCAGACAGTCGATTTTGCTGTTAAGTCAATCAACAGGGACTGTGAGTCAATGAATCAAATTACGATGTAAAAAATCATCAAGCTTTGACTACTTTAAAGAACATCTTTTTTTTTCAACGATTTTGTTTTCCGTTCGAATTATGAAATTTTGGATATCTGTCAAGTAACTGGAGTCTTTGTTCTGTAATCTTGTCAACATGTCTAGCACATCGCCATGCGTCAAGTCACTGTCGTTGTGGGGGTCAATAATTTGACTGTCGTTGCAATTTATGTCATTGTTGTCTATAGATTCATGGTTTTCTTTGTCTGCAATAAAATTCTC